GGGGAAGAGAAAGGAGTTTGTAGGCCGCTCTGAGACACCTTTGGGTAGTGCCTCTCCTCTCCTCCTCCTCACAGGGTGCCTGTTGTGGGGAGGGGAAGGGAAAGGAGTTTGTCAGTGGTTCTGAGACTCCCTTGGGTAGTGAAGAGCCATGGAGCATGAATCCAACCTCTCCTCTCCTCCTCCTCCCAGGGTGCCTGTTGTGGGGAGGGGAAGGGAAAGGAGTTTGTAAGCCGCTCTGAGACTCCTCTGGGTAGTGAAAGGTGGGAGGTATAAATCCGATCTCTTCTCTTCTTCCAAGCTAGCCGGTGTTAGAACATAAGAACATAAGAGACGCCAATGTTGGATCAGGCCAAAGGCCCATCCAGTCCAACACTCTGTGTCACACAGTGGCCAGAAATACCAGTGCCATCAGGAGGTCCAGCAGTGGGGCCAGGACATTAGAAGCCCTCCCACTGTTGACCCACCCCAAGCACCAAGAAGACAGAGCATCACTTGCCCCAGAGCCCCTATCTATACCTTGTGGCTAATAGCCACTGATGGACCTCTGCTCCATATGCTTATCTAATTCCCTTTTGAAGCCGTCCATGCTTGTAGCCGCCACCACTTCCTGTGGCAGTGTTGGGGGAAGGAGGTCTGGAGGATGCATTTAAAGTTGCTTTCTTTCAATCTTCCCCCATCTATTTGCTTTCTTCCCACTTCCTTCCTTCCTTTCCCCCTCTCTCCCTTCTCTACCCATCTAAATATCAATTTAATATTAATAGAAGCAAATGTGCATATTTTCCAATATCTGTTCATGTGTGGTGGCTTCTCAAACATCTGAGTTTGGCCACCCCTGACCTACAAAGAGGGGCCTCACTCACCTCCTCTGACAAGCCCCGGCAAACGGTATGCCTTAAATGGGTTGTGTGCCAAAGTATCAGCTTTTGGGTTATTGTGAGAATGCTTCTGAGTTTTTCTTTTGTGTAGGAGAGGCGTAGAAACCCCAGTTGACAGGAGGAAAAAAGAACTAATAGAGAAGTGGCATTGGTCCCTAGGTTTGAACAACTGGATGTTTCAGGTGTGTTTACGGAGTTGCAACTGCTTCAGTGGCTGTGAGGGGGAAACCTGTCCTGGGACAGAGAGAATGGCTGCAGTGTGTCCCCGCTGACCCTCCTTCGAAGTTAGTATCCAAGGTGGCAAGTGGGGGAGCATCATCTTACCTGGCCGATCGGCCCCAAAGGTGGGCCTAGAGGATGTCTGCTTTATAGATGTCACAGGGTCCCAAGAGTTCTCTCTCATGCTCCATGCCTTGAATTCTGGAATATTCTGGGGATTTTTGAGAGTTCTTCAAGATTTTTCATTGGAAACGCTTATGAAGTGTAAACTATTGAAGCCAATTACTTCAACTGTTAACACAGCCAGGATTAAATATAAATTAAGAACATCAGAGAAGCCCATGTTGGATCAGGCCAATGGCCCCTCCAGTCCCACAGTGGCCAAAAATACCATAGGCCATCAGGAGGTCCAGCAGTGGGGCCAGGACACTAGAAGCCCTCCCATTGTTGCCCCCCCACCAAGCACCAAGAAGACAGACCATCACTTGCCCCAGACTAAGAACATCAGAGAAGCCAATGTTGGATCAGGCCAATGGCCCCTCCAGTCCAACACTCTGTGTCACACAGTGGCCAAAAATACCAGGGACCATCAGGAGGTCCAGCAGTGGGGCCAGGACACTAGAAGCCCTCCCATTGTTGCCCCCCCCCAAGCACCAAGAAGACAGAGCATCCCTTGCCCAGACTAAGAACATAAGAGAAGCCAGTGTTGGATCAGGCCAATGGCCCCTCCAGTTCAACACTCTGTGTCACACAGTGGCCAAAAATACCAGGGGCTATCAGGAAGTCCAGCAGTGGGGCCAGGACACTAGAAGCCCTCCTATTGTTGCCCCCCAAGAAGACAGAGCATCACTTGCCCCAGAAATACCAGGGGCTATCAGGAAGTCCAGCAGTGGGGCCAGGACACTAGAAGCCCTCCTACTGTTGCCCCCCAAGAAGACAGAGCATCACTTGCCCCAGACTAAGAACATCAAAGAAGCCCATGTTGGATCAGGCCAATGGCCACTCCAGTACCACAGTGGCCAAAAATATCAGGGGGCATCAGGAGGTCCACCAGTGGGGCCAGGACTCTAGAAGCCCTCCCACTGTTGCCCCCCCCCCAAGCACCAAGAAGACAGAGCATCACTTGCCCCAGACTAAGAACCTCAGAGAAGCCCATGTTGGATCAGGCCAATGGCCCCTCCAGTCCAACACTCTGTGTCACACAGTGGCCAAAAATTCCAGGGGCTATCAGGAAGTCCAGCAGTGGGGCCAGGACTCTAGAAGCCCTCCCACTGTTGCCCCCCCCCCAAGCACCAAGAAGACAGACCATCACTTGCCCCAGTCTAAGAACATGAGAGAAGCCAATGTTGGGTCAGGCTAATGGCCCCTCCAGTCCAACACTCTGTGTCACACAGTGGCCAAAAATACCAGGTGCCATCAGGAGGTCCACCAGTGGGTCCAGGACACTAGAAGCCCTCCCACTGTTGCCCCCCCCCCAAGCACCAAGAAGACAGAGCATCCCTTGCCCCAGACTGAGAACTCCCAGTCTGGGGCAAGTGATGCACTGTCGGGGACAAAGGGATGGCGCTAGGGGAACAACAGTCCAAAAAGCACCCACTGGACTGTCAAGTGCCTCAAGGGGCAGTGCTGTCCCCGAGGCACGGGCTGCGGTGCCATCAGTACGCTGATGACACCCAGCTCTATCTGATGTTGGGCGGCTGGTCCGACTCCAGACCGGAAGATATTGACTGGGCTCTACAAGCCGTGGCTGGTTGGCTTAGGTGGAGTCAGCTGAAACTGAATCCGATGAAGACGGAGGTTCTGTGCTTGAGTCGGGGCGGTTCGGGGGTAGGGATCCCACACCCAACCTTCGGTGGGGTGCCATTCAGTGTTCCCTCTAAGCTCAGGAAGGAGGGCTCCAGAGCAAACTAATTTATGCAGTGGCCAAATCGCTCGCTCACAAATTTAGTGCCAGTAGCTCACAAAGTAGAATTTTTGCTCACAAGGCTCTACAGCTTAGAGGGAGCATTGGTGCCAGTGCCAGAGGTTAGGAGTTTGGGAGTGCTCCTGGAAACCTCCTTAACAATGGAGACCCAGCTAGCAGCCACTGCCAGGTCGGCCTTTAACCATCTCCGGCTGATCAGCAGTTGGTTCCCTTCCCTTTCTCGACCGCGCCGACCTAAGCAACAGTGATCCATGCGATGGTCACCTCGAGATTAGACTTCTGTAACGCTCTGTACATGGGGCTGCCCTTGGCACAGATTCGGAGGCTGCAGCCAATGTTCCCTCTAAGTCCTGTGGAGTCCTGTGAGCAAAAATTCTACTTTGTGAGCTACTGGCAATAAATTTGTGAGCAAGTAATTTGGCTGCTGCAGAAATTAGTTTGCTCTTGAGCCATCCTTCCTGACCTAAAAAAAAATGTGTGAGCCAGAGGCTAAAAAACAGTGAACTAGCTCACACTAACTCAGCTTAGAGGGAACAATGGCTGCAGCTGGTGCAGAATGCTGCAGCCAGGCTTCTGATGGGTGTCCCCAAGTGGGAGCACATCCAGCCTATGCTGAGGATGTTGCACCGGCTGCCAATAGCATACCGAATTCGCTTCTGGTTCTTACCTATATGGCCAGGGTCCGACCTACCTGCGGGACTGCCTTTCCCCATATTTGCCTCAGAGACCACTACAGTCGAGGTCTCAAAACCAACTGGCCCTCCCAGACCCCAAAGAGGCCAGGCTCGCTACCACCAGGGCCAGGGCTTTCTCGGTGGCGGTCCCATCCTGGTGGAATGAGCTTCCGGAGGAGCCCTGGCCCTTAACTCTGACATCTAACCTGTGCCACAGGAAGATAAGGAGCAGAATGACGCCTAGACCTCTGAAAGTACACCGTGAGAGTCAGCCATCTTGAATAACTAAAATAACCATCACCAGCACTTTATTAATTTCTATTGGCTATAATGGAATCGTGCTAGCTAGGAATCGTTTTTAGATGATTTTATGTCTTATAATTGTATTTACGCTTGATTGTTAGCCACCCTGAGCCCGCATTGTGGGGAGGGCGGGGTACAAATGAGATTAATAAATTAAAAAATGAGAAGGGGCCTAAAGAAGCCAAGGTGGCTCCAGAAGCAACTTTCTAACGATTTGAGAAGTAAAAAAAGATGCTTTTAGGAAATGGAAGGAGGGCCTTATAACCAAGGATGAATAGAAACAAATAACCAGGGCTTGTAGGGAGAGTGTTAAAAAAGCTAAATCTGAGTATGAGCTTAGGCTAGCGAGAGATGCTAAAAACAACAAAAAAGGGTTCTTTTCATGTTCAAAGTTAGAAAAAGAGCAAGGACATGGTAGACACATTGTGAGGACAGGAAAGTGAAATTGTAACAGGTGGTGAAGAGAGGGCAGAACTGCTCAATTCCTCCTTTTCCTCAGTCTTCTCTTGCGAGGGAAACAGTGCTCAATATGACAAAGAAAAGGGAGTTGCTGCCTAGGATCAGCACAGGGGTAGTACATAAACACCTAGTTTCTTTAGATGAAACTAAGTCCTCGGGGCCAGATGAACTGCATCCAGCCTGTCAAGGTCATCCTGTACCCTGACTATGTATTCTACCATATTTGCTACCCCTCACAATTTAGCATCATCTGCAAATTTAATAAACACTCCCTCTATTCCTTCATCCAAATCATTGTTAAAGACATTGAACAAAACAGGTCCTCCCAGGACAGATCCTTGAGGTACTCCACTTGTCACTCCTCCCCAAGAGGATGAGGCACCATTAAGAATCACTCTTTGGGTGCAATCTGTCAACCAGTTACAGATCCACCTAACCGTCATAGGATCCAAACCACATTTTACCACCATGTCAACAAGAATATTATGTGGAACCTTATGAAAAGCCGCACTGGAATCAAGGAAAAAAATTCAAAAGGTTTCTCATTCAAAAAGATTCTCCCTTGTGTGGGTTATCTGATGATTCTGAAGATTGCCACTCTGGCTGACTCCCTGTGTGGGTTCTTTTGTGCTTCTGAAGAGCGCCACTGTCAATGAATCTCGTTCCACACTCTGAGCATTCAAAAAGCTTCTCCCCTGTGTGGGTTCGTTGATGCTTTTGAAGGCTGGAACGCAGACTGAATTTCTTTCCACACTCTGAACATTCAAAAGGTTTCTCCCCTGTGTGGATTCTTCGGTGCCCTGGAAGACTACCACTTTTACTGAATCTCTTTCCACAATCTGAGCATTCAAAAGGTTTCTCCCCTGTGTGGGTTCTTCGGTGCTCTTGAAGACTACTGCTTTTACTGAATCTCTTTCCACACTCTGAGCATTCAAAAGGTTTCTCCCCTGTGTGGGTTCTTTGATGCACTTGAAGAGTGCTGCTGTGACTGAATCTCTTTCCACACTCTGAGCATTCAAAAGGTCTCTCCCCTGTGTGGGTTCTTTGGTGCCCTGGAAGACTATCACTTTTACTGAATCTCTTTCCGCACTCTGAACATTCAAAAGGTTTCTCCCCTGTATGGGTTCTCTGATGCTTTTGAAGATTGCTAATCTGACTGAATTTCTTTCCACACTGTGAGCATTCAAAAGGTTTCTCCCCTGTGTGGGTTCTTTGGTGCCGTTGAAGGCTACCAGTTTTACAGAATCTCTTTCCGCACTCTGAGCATTCAAAAGGTTTCTCCCCTGTGTGGGTCCTTTCATGCAGCATAAGATTACCAGTTGTACTAAACCTCTTTCCGCATTCTGAGCATTCAAAAGGTTGCTCCCCTGTGTGTGTGTTTTTATGCCGTTTAAGATGGTCACTCGTGCTGAATGTCTTTCCACACTCTGAGCATTCAAAAGGTTTCTCCCCTGTATGGGTTCTCTGATGCACTTGAAGGTGTCCACTCCGACTGAATTTCTTTCCACACACTAAACATTTAAAAGGTTTCTCTCCTGTGTGGGTTCTTTGGTGCTCCTGAAGATTGCAACTCCTACTGAATCTCTTTCCACACTCTGAACATTCAAAAGGTTTCTCCCCTGTGTGGGTTCTCTGGTGCTCCTGAAGATCGCAACTCTGACTGAATTTCGTTCCACACTCTGAGCATTCAAAAGGTTTCTCCCCTGTATGGGTTCTTTGGTGCTGCTGAAGACTGCCACCAAACCTGAAACTGTTTCCACCCTCTGAACATGCAAAAGGTTTCTCCTCTCTGCAGATGCTTTGATGCACAAGGAGCTGTGATGTATTTCTGAAGTACTTTTCACACTGAATGGATTTACTTGCCTTCATTATTTTGCACTTTGGAAAATGGATACTACCCTTTCTTCCATCAATCTTCTCAACCGTATGGTTGCCTTTCTTTCTCTTAGGTCTGCCATGATTCCTGACATTTTCTTTCAAGTCTTCATTTTTAACTCTATCTGGCAATTGCAGACAGAGTTCCTCACCCTCCTCATTCCTTTGATCACCCTCTGCTGAAATAGAGAGAGTCTGTTAGTACCTGGGAGGGCTGGTAGGATTGAAAGACATCCATGTGACTGCAGTAAGAAAGGACTGACGGCCCTTTGGCCTCATCCAGCTTGGCTGATCTTAACCACCCCTCCACCTTTCCCCAGAATATCTAGTATTTAAGGATACCTTAGCTCCTCAAGAGCCATAGCTGAGCTCTTACCCAGAAGGAGGTTTTGAGGGTCCAGATTTCAGGCCCCCAGAAGGCCTCCCTCCCTCCTTACTCAGTAGGCGGTACGATTGTACCAAACCAAATGTTGCTCAGAAGTGAATCAGAAATCCCCTATTGCCATTCCTTGCCTGTTTCCCTTGACATAACCGTGGAGGATACTCACTCTCAGCCCGCTCATTTGGGAAGGAAATATGCTCTTGGGGTCCTCCTGAGGAACTCTCCAGCCTTTCTTTGGATTCAAGGCCATTGTCTGTCTCCACCGTAGCCTCTGTTATACTTTTGGCTTCTTTTTTTGGGGGGGGGAGAGAGAGACAGAGTGGGAGATCATTCTTTTATGGACAGAACCATGGTCAAGACCAAAACCCACAATCCCAACAAGTATAAGGGGAATGGATCTGTGAGGCAAAACACCCTAGTTCCCCCAAGGGGTGAATGTGATTACTAAGTGGCCTGGTCTGCCTTGCAGGGTTTTTGTTATTTGAGTCTTCCTGCAGCTGACATCCTTATATTTTTAAAGGCCAGACTCCAGAATGTGGTCACTGGTTAATCATGAGAACCTGCGTCCAGTGGTGCAACCAGGAGGGGGGGGGATCAGGAGGGTGCTGATAGACTCTGGAAAATTCCATCAAGGAGGACCCTCGTTAGGGTCATTAGGACCACCTGACCCTAGAGAGATAGAAAGTATCATACAGGCATAGACCAGAGGGGGAGCCAGGCTAACTTTATGCTCATGCCTAGCTAATGCACCTTGATATTTTCTTCCTTCATCCCAATGAATAGTTTTCTGTAGAGTAACTTTGGCTAGGGCTTGGATTCTTATGCCGCAACAAGAGGTGCCATTTAATGCCAAGTATTTCCCGTATTAGATAGAACAGTTAGCTTTTCTTGTCTTTCTGTTGCTGAGCTGCAGAAACTGTGCTGTTTAGAGAATGTCTTATTTTCAAATCCTTAATAAACCTTTATATATTTTTAAAAGTGGTCTACTTATCTTGTATGCAGTCTCTTTGTGAACCCACTGAACAGGGTAGTGCTCTCAGGAACAAAGAATAGTGACCCAGGGGGACCCAGGGGCTTCGGTCCTTGACAGGATCGCCTCCAGGTCACAGGCAGAGTGGATGTCTCTAATCCCATCCAGGGGGAAGGGTGTGTTGTAAAGGTAGGGAACAGAGAAATGAGGATCTGGCCCCTTCCCGAGTCTTTCTGAGGGCCTCTCATCCCCATCTTTGCCTCAGGCCAGGAGACACCTTCTCAGGCTTGGGTGATGGGCACAACTCTGGCCGCAGTTGCCCCTGGGCAAGGACACACACATGAACAACACAGGAAGCTGCCTCCTACTGAATCGGGCCCTTGTTCCATTGAAGTCAGTATTGTCTACTCAGTGCAGCGGCAGTCCTCCAGGGGCTCATGCAGAGGTCTTTCACACCACCTCCTACCTGACTCTTTTAACCGGAGATGCTGCCAGGGTTTGAACCTGGGACCTTCTGCATGCCAAGCAGATGCTCTGCCAGTGAGCCACAGCCCCACTGCAAGTAGCGGGACAGGCCTCAAAATGGTGTACTGCTATGCAATATTTTGATTCATGTCTCATCACAGTGGTAGCAATTTGCACCTTTGGCACCGAGGAAAGATCCTTACCCAGAAAGGCCACATTCCCATAGTTCTCCAGCATGACTTCCCAGTACAGAACTCTTTGTTCCAGATCCAGCAGGGCCAATTCTGCTGCGGAGAAATACACGGCCACCTCCTCAAAGGAAAAGGGGCCCTGAAAGAAAGAGCAGATTCCCTCGTCAGAGATCACACCAGGCAGAGATGGCACACGGGAAGGGAGTAGTCAGGGAAGGGACAGGATGTAAGGCTTGGGATGGGGGTCAAGGGAACGGCGATCAGAGGATCTCTCAGCCGGACACCTTGTAGAGACTGCAGGAGCAGAAGCCCCCCCCCCGAGAAAGGAGGAGGGACCCTGGTTGTCCCCCCCCCCCGGCTCATCTCACCTACCTGGACTGGCGGTATGGCAGCCGTTTCCACACCTCTGAGAAGATGACGGCTCAACAGCATCTCTTCACTGCCTGTTCCAGAGACAAATCAGGAATGAAGGGTGTTTCTTGCTTGTCCCCTGCTTTACACACCCCCTTCCCAGGGTTGTGAAACCTCACCCTGTGTACACTCAACACATTTCCTAAACACTTTTTACCGAAATCTGGGAGAGGCAGAAGCGAAGCACCAGGTCCCTGTGAGTCTAAGGGATTGTAGAGGCTGCCACGGAAGCTCAGATGTCTCTGAGTCCTGTGTTCGGATTTGGTGGAGGAGAGAGAGGGGTGTGTGGAAATGACATTGCACAACACATCACCATCCCATTTGGCCCAGATGTGACTGGAGCACATCTGGAGACTCGAAGTCGGTTGTCATGCTAACATCACAAGTTTTCAGCCAGACGCAACCGCAACATGAAGCGCTTTGGGGAGCCCCCTGGGGTGCCGTTGCCACCGCTCGCCATCCCTACTCCAGCAACCATTTCCCCAGAGTGGCCCACTGGATGCCCCTATAAGCGCGGGCAGAGGAGCCAATTTTCCCCATGATTATTGGCCCCTCTAGGAACTGGTTCCCAGAGCTCTGCTGCCCCAGAAGGTGGAGGCGCCCTCGATTCACCAGGCTGAAGAGCTAAGCTGAAGTTTGTCCACCTTTTCTCTTTTGAGTCACTTCAAGTTTCTCTTATGGAAAGAAGGTGAGATGTTCATATTTAAATAAATGGGAGGAATTGCCCTCTGTGAGTTCGCCCCCCCTTTTAGAGGCATCACAGCGGATGCGGAGTGCCGTAAATTCACTCTGTGTTGTGTGGAGGAGTATTTAATTCTTTTCTGGACCTGAACTCTCTACCCATCCGTGATGGACAGTCCTTAAAACAAGCTTCAAAGGGCAGCACTATCAGGGTACGAGGAGGTGAAGCGTTCAGTCTTCCCAGGAATGGAGAGCTCTGGGGGCCAGGCTGCTCCAAGGACTCCCATTGGCCAGCTAAGAGAAGAAATAGTACCCATAAGAACATAAGAGACGCCAATGCTGGATCAGGCCAAAGGCCCATCCAGTCCAACTCTCTGTGTCACACAGTGGCCAAAAATACCAGGGGCCATCAGGAGGTCCGGCAGTGAACATAAGAACATAAGAGAAGCCAATGTTGGATCAGGCCAAAGGCCCATCCAGTCCAACTCTCTGTGTCACACAGTGGCCAGAAACACCAGGGGCCATCAGGAGGTCCACCAGTGGGGCCAGGACATTAGAAGCCCTCCCACTGTTGACCCCCCCCCCAAGCACCAAGAAGACAGAGCATCACTTGCCCCAGAGCCCCTATCTATACCTTGTGGCTAATAGCCACTGATGGACCTCTGCTCCATATGCTTATCTAATTCCCTTTTGAAGCCGTCCATGCTTGTAGCCACCACCACCTCCTGTGGCAGTGAATTCCATGTGTTCATCACTCTTTGGGTGAAGAAGGACTTCCTCTTATCCGTTCTAACAGACCGCTCTGCAGTTTCATGGAATGCCCACGGGTTCTTGTATTGTGAGAAAGGGAGAAAAGTACCTCTTTCTCTACCTGCTCTTTCCCATGCATAATCTTATAAACCTCGATCATGTCACCCCTCAGTCGTCGTTTCTCCAAGCTAAAGAGCCCTAAGCGCCTTTCCTCATAGGGAAAGTGTTCCAACCCTTTTATCATTCGAGTTGCCCTTTTCTGCACTTTTTCCAAAGGTATAATATCCTTTTTAAGGTGTGGTGACCAGAACTGCACACAGTATTCCAAATGAGGTCGCACCATTGATTTATAGAGGGGCATTATGATATTGGCTGATCTGTTTTCAATGCCCTTCCTAATAATCCCCAGCATGTGCACTGAGGACAAGCAAGCCCTAGGTTACAAACTGAACTCTCCAATGCAAGAACAAGATTCATTTCTTCCTTTAGGAGGTGCTATTGTCACAAGAAAAGAAAAAGGTTTCCGTTTTGTTTTTGCATGTGAGTGGGTATTCTGTTTGTAATTGTTTGGATACGCTATATTTTTAATATGCTAGTTGTGATAATTTCATGCCAAGTAAAAATGTCCATAGTCATATTTTATGTTCCTAGAGTAACAGAATGACTTTCAATCTGGAAAAGAAAAAAGAAGTGCTAATGTAGGGTTTTTTTTCCAATTTTTCCAAAATTTCAGTTTCCCCCCCCAAAAAAAACTGGGGGGAAAACCCAGATTTATTTCCGAGCTTCAAAATTTCTGAAATTTTACATCTCTAATTACGATCTAATTAACTAAGAAAATAAGCTTCAATAACCCTCTTTAGCCTGTGTGAAGAACCACAGTCTGTACATCCAGTGATTGTACAACCAGTGATTTACAACTCCTAATTTCACTTGACCTTTCCCTGAATATTAATAAAATCCTCTGATCTATTTGACTTCTACATCGGCTCCGGTGCCATTTAAATGGACTCAAATCAAGAGGGACCCCGATTCTTCCCTCAGGTTCTACGGCTGGGCTAAAAGCCAAATCATATTTCAGTGACAGGGTCGGTCAGTCAGACCTTTGAAGTCAACGAAGAAAACCACGTTACCTGGGGACAGCCCACTTCATTTCCACCACAGATCTGACAAAAGAGTAGTGGCAGGTGGCCATGGATCTGAAAGGCCAACTGAAAACAGCTTTTGTAACCAGGGACAAGAAGAAGAAGAAGAAGAAGAAGAACAAGAAGAAGAAGAAGAAGAACAAGAAGAAGAAGAAGAAGAA